GAGCGTTTTGTTCCCTTGTCCCTGAAGTGTGGATTATAATACCTGTTCATTGGGCAGTCGTGAGGATGTGTGAGAGAGGACAGTGCACAGTTAAAGCTCAGTGAGTGGGAGCTTCCAAATGTCATTATTATTGGTGAAGAAACAAAATAAATTATACTCGTATGTGTATTTATGCAAACCAAGGAAAAACAAAAACATATTAATAATTTTAAAATTATCCATGGGGAAATGACAGAATTCAAGATAATTTAAAACACAGAGAGATAATTTAATATATTTAAATGCCCCCATTTTTATGGTATTCCTTCTAAACTACATACCTCCATTTAACGTTCTTAAAATTGGTAAATAAGATATTTTGATTAGTTGCTTAACTAAAGTGATTACTGCAAGCCGGCTGTAGCTGGCCCTGCAACTGTGACTGCTGACATTAATTACATTTTTATGTGCAGCATATGAACTGCACATTTTCTGGCTGCAGCACCAAACCAGCTGCAGAGCACCCTCTTTCAGCATGAGTAATGGAAACAGGGAAGCAAAACCTCATGACTGCGGGAGGCAGGGCTGGAGAACGGGGCAAGAGGCACATCAGCTCTTCTTCTTTGGGGAAGAAGTGAGGGTCGATAATGAAATAAAACCTTGTGTCCAAGGAGTCCCCAAATTCTGACCTCCTAAGATGGCTAAGCAGAACTTAAGAAGGTAAAAACAGAGTTCTCTCCTGTCCATGTTTACATTGTCGACACCTAATGGAAGGTCTGGAATTAAATAACTATTATTGTCGAATGAAGAAATCCATCAATTCAGCTAAATATAATATAATAATAAAATATAATAATAAACATAATAAAAAATAAAATATGATGATCTGGAGGTGTCTTTCACATATATATGTGTCATATAGTCTCCTTAGAATGAGGATATATTTAGTGTAATATCTGGTATAATCTTATATTATGTAATCATGGCAGGTATGCGGGATAAGTTTTCACAATATGGATAATAACGATACTAGCTAGGCCGGGCGCGGTGGCTCACGCCTGTAATCCTAGCACTCTGGGAGGCCGAGGTGGGCGGATTGTTCGAGGTCAGGAGTTCAAAACCAGCCTGAGCAAGTGCGAGACCCCGTCTCTACTATAAATAGAAAGAAATTAATTGGCCAACTAATATATATAGAAAAAAATTAGCCGGGCATGGTGGCGCATGCCTGTAGTCCCAGCTACTCAGGAGGCTGAGGCAGAAGGATTGCTTGAGCCCAGGAGTTTGAGGTTGCTGTGAGCTAGGCTGACTCTACGGCACTCAATCTAGCCTGGGCGACAAAGTGAGACTCTGTCTCAAAAAATAAAAAAATAAAAAAGAAGATACTAGCCAAAAGTTACTTAGGATTTATTAAGTCCAGAAACGGGAATAAGTTGCTTTTCATGTATAACTCATGAATCCTCTACACAACTATTTGGAATAGTTTATTACATTAATAGGTTATTATACACACTTCATAGATGCAGAAACTGAGGCTTAGGTTTACAAATAATTCCATGCCCACATAGCTATTAACAGCAGCAAAGCCCAGGGTCATACCCAGAATATCTGATTTCAGGGCCTAAAAGCTGAATTACTATGTTATTCTGATCAATGGGCTTCATTTGGAGTTTTAAAGGTCGAAATCTGAAATATACAATATTTGAATAATTGGATATTGTTGTTGTTATAAAAAAACTTTCTCTTTTTCTACCCACTGAAAACTTTCTATCAAGCTTAGGCACCTATGTCTATAACTGGTTCTGTTGTAATTAAGATTTAAGTCTTGAAGCTGTTCCCTATAACTATGCATGGAATTAGGTATTCCTACATGTGTCTTCTCGATGACTATACCCATTAGATAAAAAAACATTCCTGGAATTACCTGCTCCAAACTTCTTATTTGACAGAACAGTTTGGTGAAAAGGATTTTCTGCCATTGACTAAATTGAGTAAGATACAGTTGTTTAAGAGGCCCAAACTACAGTATCAAGCACACAGCACCCATCTGGATCTCAGCACAGACATGGGGATATTTTTGAAAAATGAGGAGGTCTCAAAATATTCTCCCAAGAAAAATAAGCATTAACTCATTAAGGACTCCATAGCATTTCTAAAGGCTGCCTCAGACTGACTGATGATTTTTTTCCATTTTGACAGAAAGTAGGCTTGTAACTGAGAACCACAACAGTGAAAGAAGAGTTAGAGAAGAGGAAGGTCAGTGATGGAAAAAAACAAACAAAAAAAAGGCAGAAAGACTAGTCTTGCTTTCTGTTCTCACGGGACCTGAAATTCTTTGGACTTGATTAGAAACAGGTTCTGGCCTCCTGTTCTTTCAATGACAAATGTGTCCTAGTGGGTTGATCTGGCTGCACAGAAAGCCCTTGGCCTCTCTTGTTCTTTCCCCTTCCAGCAATAACACAGAGGGAAAGGTGAGGTGTGTAGTCACTGTGTTCAGTAGAGGTAGGTGGAATTTGATCCCTGTAACTATAATCACTATTACCCTTCCAGCCGGCCAGCAACGGTTAGAAAGGAGAAGGTTGTTCACAAAGCATGGAGCATTCACCCTGCTTGATGCCAAAGTAGCCAGGAATCCACTATAAATAAGCAGTTTCCAAGGACTGTACTTCTTTGAGTCCCAGAAAATCTGGATAAGAGAACTCTTAGGTAGCAAACAAGCAGGCAGATCTGTGTGTGTGTGTGTGTGTGTGTGTGTGTGTGTGTGTGTGTGTGTGTGTTTACTGTGCATTTCCCAGACCTCTCTTCAAGAGCCAGGAACTCATTCCCCCAGCTACTGGGAATATTGGCTGCTGGCTGTTGCAACTCACAGCTGATCCCTCTCTGGGAATTACCCTTAGGAATTACCCTCCACCAAAGGGAGCTGCCTCACCCCGAGATTACTTAATCCCTCCCCAAGAGCAGCCCAAATCTACTGACTGCAAAACAAGGCCAGGCCTTCTTGCTTGGATATGACATCAGTCCAAAGGCCAACCCAGCCCCAGAGATCCCACAGGTTCAGCCTCTCCCTCTGCCCAATCTTGCCTTTCTCAGTCCATTCAAGAGTGGAAAGCACTCTCTTGGATCTTTTGAACGATCTTCCAAGATCAAAAAAACAAGCAAGCAGAAGAGCCGGGATTCAAATCCAAATCTATTTGACTCTTAGCCCTACATTTCTATCGACTTTAACAAGTCCTTGCCTTTGACTTACCAAATACACATCCATACAACTTAGCAAGACTACCAAGTCCCTTCTGATCTGCCCATCCTTTCTAGGCTCACATGCCATCACCCTCTCCTCTACAATCCCTGGTCCCTGGACTCTTTCTTCTCCCTGAACATGGCATGCTTTCACTTTCCCTGGAACAGCTCATTGTGCTTCTCTGCTTGGTGAACGCCTCCTTTCCCTGCAAGTCTCGCTTCAAGTGCTCGCTTTTCGGTGGAGACTTTCCTGACCCCTAGGTAGAGTTAAGCCCTCCAGCCTTCCAGCTCCCACAGTGGGCTGTGCGTCCCTTGAGCGTGGTAACTGTTAATTATTGTAATGAGCTCCTTGCAGGCAGCGACATGTCTTTTTTCACTTTGCTTCCCCAGTCAGGCATTTTAAAGATGTTTTGTTGAGTGGATAAACAAATGAACTCAGTTGAAGTGCTGGTCCCGGAGGCATGGTACGGTGCCATCCAAATTTGGATAAATTGTGATCTCCTTGAGCATGAGGACTCTTCATGCTTATAGCTTTTCCAACACCTATCAACAAGGTCTCCTGATCCTAAGAGATGCTCAGAAAACCCCCCTGAATCATGTGAGGTCTCTGCAGAAAGGGCCGATGTACCCGAAAGTTACTTCACGTTCACAGCTCAGTCTAAACTATGTTTTTTAAAGCTCTATTATTTAGGACACATAGGATATTTCTCTATGTATTATCTTCTTAATTAACATGCCCCTTAGTTCCAATTGTTAAAATCTCTCCTTTGAAAAAAAAAATTTTTATTTCTATTTAATAGAGCACAAGATGACTTAGAGCTTGCTAAATTCCATTTCTAGGTCAGAAATCAAATCTAATGTGGATACATCAAACATGACTAAGAAGTTTTCCAGCTGGCCTGCTTAACACTATGTCCTTGTTTTAAGGGGCCCCTTTGAAACGTAAGTATGTTAGTAATAATCTACAGGGTGTTTCCCCCACTTCCCCCACTTTCTGAAACTAATAACTACTTAGTAAATAGAGGTACAGGTAACCAACACTAACTACTAGTACAAAGTTGAGGGGGTGAGGGGGGACGGGGGCGGGGGGACCTCATCCTACAAGCATGAAAAAAAAAGCCAGTCTCACTGGGCAAGTAGCTGCATTCTCTGCACAGGAAATGGTCCAATTTTATTATTGTTCTCAACAAAAACGTCCAAACAAACAAACAAACAAAAATTGCCAAGAGCTGGCAGAAACGAGCAATGATGATAAGAAGCCTTAAAATCCCAGTTCTTGTTTTTTAATGGACTTGGGAAGGAAGAGGCTCTCTGGTGTGTAAGGGACTGCATTTTCTGTGCCCTGCGGAACCTTCTTCATGTCGCTCTCTCACAGCCTCTGCTGCCGGTCTGGTGAGAGCAAGAAAAAACTGCGGTAATATTTTTCTGAGAGAGCAGCACATATGGTAATCTCGTTCTTCACAAGTGTCTGATGATGTGTGAGTTTGAACACAAGAATTCGAGGCTTTTCCACTCTGCTCTGATTTTTCATAAGTGCAGGCAGTCTGTTTCCTAAGGACAGAGGTGCACCTCGCAGGTACATCCTATTTCAAAATTTTGCTAGCATTGTTCAGCTCACAGATTCACTGAGTTATGCTCTGTAAGTGTGCCTGTTCAGGTTTAACTTTTTGTTCTGTGTCTTTAAAATATGCATTCACCTAATATTTTTGAGACACTGCTCTCAGTTCCGGTAACAGGCGAAGCAGTTACCAGAAAGCACACGGAGTAGCGGAGTTCATGGAGTGTACCTTTTTAAACATCCTGGTGGAATCCTCACTGATCTGCATGAAGCGCATAATCACGTTGTTCAGATAGATGTCACTCAAGGTGGCATGGTCTTTGCTTTCTCTCCTCACTTGGTTCAGGAGCAAATACCAGCAGTTCACCGGAGATAACAGGTTCTGGTCTTTCCTAAGTAGTGAAGAAAGACAGAATTACCATCAATTTCAAAGCTGTCCCAATCAGCTGAGCAAAGTCACCAAGGCAAATGAAGGAGCCACAACAGATGGATATTGTCACCGTTCTCTCTACTCTGAGCATTGCTCAGACCAGGACACTTGACAGCCAGAAGATCAGCCTTCCAGCCTATGCATGGCACAGAGCCAGCAATTCTCCAGGCTTGGAAGGAAAAATCTGGACCAAGAACACTGGTGAAAATTCACATTCCTGACAAGGGCCAGGGGACCCTACACACTGAGTGCTTAGGCAGGCCTGCAGCTTTAAACACCCCATTGAAGAAAGCAATTTATGTTTACATAAAAATCTATTGACTACTGTCTCAGACAGACTGTGGTTAGCCACAGCACACAAAGTCTGCTTTGAAGGTTCAGTCTGTTGCTGGAAAAGAAATTTGGCTAGTTATGCTTTCCATGGAACATAAATTTGAGGGTTATTCATTAATCCTCGGATACATAACCTCCAGCCTCCCAAAGAGTATTCCTGGGAATCAGAACTTTATTGTGTCGTCTCAAGGCTCACAAATAGAACCAAGAAGTTTGCTGGCTTATGACTCGTCACATGTCCTGTTGAAACCCATTAAACTATTTCATATTTATAAGTGCTACTTATTCTATTCTGGATAATAAAGCTAAAAGTGAATGTGGACCACAAAAGACTTTTATAAAATCTTACAAGAAAAACTACAAACAAAAATAGTGAGCAACTGGGATGTTTTTACTGAAAAAAAAAAAAAAGTGCAATTTTAAAAATTTTGTTCTTTATTTTAAAAGCTAACTGTAAAATGGCAAAATGGCATAGAATGTTTATCCTAACACAAGGGCACAAGTGCCATTTAAGCAGATGTATTAGCCTCCTATTATTCATGATCACTTATGAACCTAATTATTAATTACGTTAGGAAAGAAATGATTAAGTCAGGTCTTTCTGCCTTTACGTCTCCCAGATTCAGGATTTAGTACTGCATCAAGTGAAAACCCTCTAAAGAAGACAAAGAAAGTAGAGGACAAAAGCAGGACTGGGAGTAGGGGAAGAAATGTTTGATGTAGGGTCTTAGCACTTGCACCCATCAGAGCAACCTCCCACCCTCCCCACTGGCACACTAAGAATTCCATCCTCCACCTGGGAACCCCCTTTTTTCTTAAAGCCATCAGGGAAGGGTCAGTGGTTCCACAGGAGGTAATTGGAGCTTCTCTACTGACATTCTCCATCCAGCAGCTGCAGAGGTAAATGTTACCTAATTTACATTAACTTTTCTGTACATCTTTTATTCTTTGAGAACATTTCATACATCTTTGTAACCTCGGTGCCCTGCCCCACAGCAATAAGCACTATGTATTATTTTATTCATTGAATAAATGTATTATTATTCCCTTAATACTAGTAGTATTAATATTAACATCAGTAATAATAACAGCAGCTATCAGTCATTGAGCACCTTCTGTGAGAAGGGGTATACAGGTCAAGAATGTGAACTCTATAGCTATGCTGTCTAGGTTCATATCCCAGAACTATCATTTATTAGCCATGTGACTTTCGGCAAATTATTTTAACCTTTCTGTGCCTCAGCTACTTTGTAGAATGGGTAAAACAATAGTATTTATCTCATAAGATTATTATGAGGATTATTTGAGCTGATACGTATTTTTAAATCCTTACGACAATGCCTTGGGCACATAGTAAGTGATATATAAAGTTAGGTATTTTCATCCAGCGGCTGCTCTAGAGACTTTACAGACATGAACTCTACTTAATCCTTACCACTGCCACCTAAGGCACAGATTCTCTGTATCCTTTCTATGAATGAGAGAAGTAAAGCTTAGCAAAGCACAATGATTTGATAAAGACCAAAGCTAGTGTCGGACAGTCTTTTGGGTCCCAGGAGGCTCAACCAAGCCTTGGTCTTTCCACTGTACAGTAGCAACTCTGGACCAAAGATACGAGCTAGGCTCCACAGTTGAACTTAAACGACTGATGACATTATCGTGCTAAAGATACAACATTTGTTTGGTAAAGAGGAGGAGGAATATTGAATGTATATTCCATGCCAGCCATCAATCATATGAAGGACTTGGTCATGTTTCTTACTCAATGGTCATAAAACCTCATTTTACAAGTTAGGAAACCAAGGCTCATAGAGGCTAAGTGACTTGACCAAAAACCACACAGTGGAGCCAGTATTTATTAATACATCCAGGTCTGGCTGACTCCTTAATAAAGCATGTCTTTGTGTTTTTCTTAATCCTGGGTTATCCTTTCCACGGACTTCTTATTCATCGTATTCAAAGATAAACTGAAGCAAAAGAAAATTTCAAACTGCTCTCGTTTTGAAGAAAACTACTAAACAAACCAGGAGAAACGAAACGCGGCTTCTATCTACTGAGGGGCCAGACTAAGGTTCACGGACCCATCCATATTCTCAGTTCACAACCAATTACCAAGTGCAAACCCAGAAGACGACACTAAAAATATCTGTGGAGCGGATGAAGGGCTGTGTTTTTATCTGCGATTGCTTTTAAAAAGGGACATTCACTATAAATGTGAGTATAGTACTGGCTCCAGTCCCCTCTTTCCAGCCCTAGTCTCTGTCAAGTACATGTGACGTGTGTTCACCCTGGGAATCTTCATTAAGATTTATTTCTATGCTGGACCAATACTAAAGGTTAAAGGCATCTGAGAGTCGGGTGTGGGGTAGAGGGGGAGAGAGAGAAAGGTATTCTTTATCCAGAATAGTTTTGCATTTGCCTCTGCAAAAGTACCCCAGGGAGAGTTCCCACCCGACTTTTAATGTAGGATCCAAGGTCATGGAGGGGTGTAAAACGAAACTGCAAAGCTAATGGTGAAGCAAGGCAAAGACATGCTTCTCAACAGCTCCTTCCAGTTTGGAGCCCAGGCTGAGCAGACAGGTCTCCTTACTGTGTCCTGTGCAGGTGGGTAGATATTAATAGTTTTCTTTTTTTACCCTTTCACCTTTCACTGAGATAGCAGCTGTTTTGATCCTAGGATGCAATGCATTAGTGTCAGTGGTGGGGCAGCCCTCAGTTCCAAGTCTTTACCTTGCACAGACCTCATCTTCTGTTCCCATGTGGGTTTAAAGGGTGGATACAACTGCCACTTAGGTTTTCAGTTTGATCTTCCTTTTTTGGCCCCTGGAAATTTCCCTTACTTTCCTGTGGGTTCAGTTATACACATAAGATGGTGTCCGTTATATATTTAACCAGCATTTCTGGGAGTTTTGTGGCAGATGTGTTTTTCAGGTTATCTGGTCTGCTTGTATTTCCAGAAGTGAAAGTCTATGCTATCTTTTTACTGCCTTGCAAACAGGGCTACTTCTCTCTGCCTGCAGGGTTGCTAGTTCACGCCATCAATGCAACAGCCCACTTACAGTCTCTCTCTCTACTCTGTCTTCCTCTAGTCCACAATCCTATCTATGGTCTTCGTCATTATTATTATTATTATTTTTTTAAGAGACAACTTCTCACTATGTTGACAGGCTGGTCTTCAATTCCTGGCCTCAAGGGATCCTCCCACCTCAGCCTCCCAAAGTGCTAGTTTTATAGGCATGAGCCAGGGTGCCCAGCCAGTCTTTGTTATCATTTTAAAATGCAAGTGTCACCACGACATTCTACTTAAAACTCTCTAAAGGCATCTCATGCTTCAGGATAAAGTCCAAACTGCCCAAGAAGATCCACAGGCCTCCATGACCTGCTCCAATATACATCTGCAGCCAGACTGCTCACTCCCTCACTACTCGCTCCCACTGGAGGCTTCAGTTCTGCAAACCCGCCCTACACCCCTTCCCTGCTGGCTCCTTACCCATGATGTTCCCCTCGCCTGGAATATTCCCTCTGCTCCCCTTTACAGGCCAACTAGTCCTTCAGGTCTTTGCTTAGATGTCACCTCTTCTAAGACCTTCCCTCCCCACCTCCACTACAGAACAGCTTTCAGCCAGGTCTGTCCTGCGCTTGCCCCTGTCGGAGCACTTGCACACTCCACCAAAGTTGTCTGCTTACTTGTCTCTCTCTGTCTCTAGGATTTAAATTATAAGGTAAATTTCATTATCAGAACAGTCTGTAAGTATTTTTAAATTACAATTAATGTAAGGTTTAATTATGCTCACTCATAAGCATCTTACTAAGTATCCTTGTTTTAAATCAGTCTCAATTGCAATGACCACAAACATGATGGGCAGGGAGTGGAGTGGACACTAAGCCCAAGAAACCCTTATTGCTTAGTTTCATATAAAATCACTACAGAAATCCAGAAGCCAGCCGGGCGTGGCGACTCATGCCTGTAATCGTAGCACCCTGGGAGGCCGAGGTAGGAGGATCTCTTGAGCTTAGGAGTTCGAGACCAGCCTGAGCAAGAGTGAGACCTCATCTCTACTAAAAAAAAAAAAAAAAAAAAAAATAGAAAGAAATTAGATGGACAATTAAAAATATACAGAAAAATTAGCCAGGCATGGTGGCACATGCCTGTAGTCCCAGCTACTCGGGAGGCTGAGGCAGGAGGATCGCTTTAGCCCAGGAGTTTGAGGTTGCTGTGAGCTAGGCTGATGCCACAGCACTCTAGCCCGGGCAACAGAGTGAGACTCTGTCTCAAAAAAAAAAAAAAAGAAAGAAAGAAATCCTGAAGCCTTTGCTTGAAGAAGCAGCTATTTTAAATCTGTTTTACCTGGGCAAATAACAACTCTCCACTTTCCATAATCAAGAGTTTTACAAATACATACCTTCTCTTCTTATAGATAAAATTATCCATATATATACATATATATATATGGATATGAGAATGAGAAAAATGTCAAGAGAATACTATTGGTTCAAAATGACAAATTGATGAGGATAAATTATAAATGTAGGGGGTTGCTTTTATTTATGGGAATATGCCCACCAATTGCTTCTCAGACAAAAATGGAAAAATCTAAAACCAATAAGGGTGTCAAAAGGAAGGATATCACCTTGGAAAGGTGAATTTGAGTCAAGTCTCTCTTACTTGTATTGTTGATGGTCCTTAGTGCTTCTAGTTTTGGCCATGAACCTTTCTGCTAACTTCTCCAGGTTCCGAGAATATTCTGTTTCAATTTCGGCTTTTTTTCGGAAGAAATCTTGCAGGTCCTGGAGAAGCTGAACTCGCATCTCCGTTTGCTGCTCCAGGCATTTTTGTTGTTCTACCAGTTGAGCTCGAATTTCTAAGAAGAGAAGAGAACTCATTTGATTATTTCATGAAAATGACTGAGTTTTACCGTTATGTGCAAGATACAAGTCACAAATCCTATTACATAGTTAGCTCTGTATTGGACCTTTATTATTAATAGAATGCCGTGTACAGGTTGGTTCTTTAAATAAGATATCTGCTCACCCTTTAAAAGAACAAGACAAACCTCAGGAAAGAATGTATTAAATTAGAATAGAAATGTGGGTTACATTTGTAATGCCACAAACATGCATGCAGTCATGAAGAGAAAAAAAATTAAAGCCTTTCAGATAACAATTCATAACGTGTGACAACTTTAGCTGAGAACACTGTAATTTTTTCAACAGCATTTTACCTCAACTATCCCTTTTGAGTCTGAATGGCAAAGAAATGGGTGTCATTTCTTCCAGATTCCGATCCACTACACATTTGCCAGTTGGCACATGCAGAGACTGACATCTGGTCATTTTTATTTAGCGCATAAATTTCTAGTTTGTAAAACACGTAGCTTCAGGGCTTATAGGGATGTCGTGTCTAAAAATAACTTCTTTCTATATCCAATAATCCATTCGTCACACGGCAATCCTCAGAGTCCACTTTATTATTCTATTCACAATGTCAAGGCCTCTTCACTTGGCCTTCATTTTTTTACACATTGTTCAAACTTAACACCCTTATCAGCACATATATTCCTAAAAGAGTCCCTTTGACAATTTAAATACATTAGGAACATGAAGGTTAGTCATTTAGTGATTTACCAAGAGCACCAAAACAAAAATGTGGCATGCAAAAAGTATCTGTAAATGACTATAACAAAGAAACATGTGTGTTTTGGAAAATGAGATACAGTAACTAACAACTACTGACTTTTTTTTTTTGTTCTAAGAACTAGGGCCAACCTCCAAAGACAAGAATATCAGGCTGGACAAACTTCTGTATTTCATCTTCCCCAGTGTCGGTGAGTGATTCCCTGAAAGTGAGGGTCAAATCTAATTCAGTAGAGCTCGTAGACATCAAAGTCCAAATAATGCCTCTTCAATTTCTTCCTATTCTTTCTCTTCAGTAGAGAAGGACTTTACTGGTGACATATATGCATAAACTTGACCATGTTTATTTAAACAAGTTCATTAATATCGGGGCAGACAAGTTTTGAATGGGAAGTCAGGAAATTTCTCAATTTAGTAACACCTAATGATAATCCACTGTTTACTATTCTGTACCTCAAGAAGTAGGTAATGGTATTATCCCCCATTTTGCAAAGAATAAATTGAAGTTTAAGGAGATTAAATACTTTAAGGACTTCAGCTAGTAAGTAGTACCCCTGTGGACCTCCAACCCTGACCTGTCAGTCTGAGGAATCAAATACTTCCCATTCTCCTTCTACCCACCAAATATTTGTGTGAACACCTATACTGTGTTAGGCCTATATCCCAGCAAAGAAGACCCAACAGCTAATGAAACAAGACCTCTGTCCTCAATAAGGTCATGCTCTGGCCAGTGCTGTTCCTAGGGAGTTCTAGGGGAAGGCAGGGAAGCACTTCTCCAGTGTCCTCTCCTGGTTTCTCCACCTCTAGATTGGAGGATCTTATTATTAATCTCACAGAAGTGTGGTGAACACCAGAGTGAACACATTATTATAGGCTTTTAACTACCACGAACAGCATCTGGTTTTTAGTCAATCAAAGTAAGTGTTTTCCAATACCGTATTATAATCAGCATGTCTGCCAAACTCTCTCTCCCAAAAATAGAGCTATTTTTGTTTCATAAAAGAAAAAAATATCAAGAGTGGGGGTATTTCTCATTCAGGAATCTCAGTAAGTCTTTTAAGATGAAGTAATTTTAGCACATCTTGCCGTGCTAAGAGAAAATAAATCAATCATCTTAGGCTGTCAACTAGTTTTCTCTGCTTTTTTCTTTTTCTGTTTAAGCTGCCTTAGTGCCGAATAAAAAATAAAAGTGGATGAGAGAACAAATATCAAATCTCATCACAGGCACACAAAAATTATATGGGCTTCCTTCTTGGATCTCATTTTGAAATAGTCTCGTACTTGTGTCCATCAGGATTTAAAATCAAGAACTAGGGAGTTCTGAGAAGGACTGTATTTAGACAATTAAATCCTCATCCCCCTTTTACAGAGAGTAACTGTTACTTTATGTTATCTGTAATTTTCCAATCAAACTAGGACATCTGCAGCATTTTCAACAACAGTGAAAACGGACAGAGACAGCATCTAGAATGTCACTGTGAGAAAACATGCTCCAAAAAATAGAGGAGATGCCATTTACTGCTTCAGTTTAGAAAAGTTTAGGACAAATGAGGAAAGGATCATAAAAAAATAATTTTTAAAAAATCAATAGAAAAGTACTACTATAAGAAATATCTGTACAAGAGATTGCAATTTCCCTCCCACCCCCAGATTCTTTGACAGTCTATTAAGGCTCCTTCTATTAGCTTTCTTAGATTAGTATTGACCGGGATCATTTTTTTTTCAGACTCAAGGGTCATTTTTGTTTAGTTGAACAAGCAATTATCAAGCTCCCATTTTGTGTTAGGCAGGGTCCCAGGCATTGGTGATTCAAAGATTTGTAGCCACAGTTCCATCTGGTAAAGGAAGATAAATCCCAGACTGATCACATCAACACACTCTGTGCAGTGCTCTAATAACAGGAATGCAACAGGAAACTATGGAAAGAAGAGCTGGAACTAACTCAGACTCGAAGATTCTGGAAGACACAGTGCCTTAAAGGGTAAGGTTACAAGATACACAGATGTAGTCACTAAGAAAGTGAAAAGACAACACACAGGATGAGAGAAAATATTTGCAAATCACATATCTGATAAGGAACTTGTACAGAGAACATACAAAGAACTCTTAAAACTGGATAATACTTCTTCTCCAAGAAAACATCCAATAGCAGATGACGCCACTGCAGTGGAAGGTGCGGGAGCCCCTCGAGGCCCTGGAATGAGGCTGTGGCAGCTTCTATGAAGGCTTCGGCGATGGCATTAGGGACCAGGGCTGCAGCCATGGCCGGGGCAGGGGCAGCAGAGGTCATAGAGGCAAGGACAAGGATGAGGAGTGGGTGCCCATCACCATGCTGGGCTGCCTAATCAAGGACTTGAAGATCAAATCTCCAGAGGAGATCTATCTCTTTCTTTTCCTTGCCCATCAAGGAGTCTGAGATCATTGATTTATTTTTTCCTGGGGGCATCTCTCAAGGCTGAGGTTTTGAAGATTATGCTTGTGCAAAAGCAGACCCACGCTGGCTAGTGGACCAGGATCCAGGTGTTTGCTGCCATTGGGGACTATAATGGCCATGACGGTCTGGGTGTTAAGTGCTCCAAAGACATAGCCACTGCCATCCAAGGCGCCATCATCCTGGCCAAGCATTCCATTGTCCCTGTGTGGAGAGGCTACTTGGGGGACAACATTGGCAAGCCTCACACCATTCCTTGAAAGGTAACAGGCCTCTGTGGCTCTGTGCTGGTACATCGCATCCCTGCCCCTAGAGGAAGGGGCATTGTCTCAGCCCCTGTGCCCAAGAAGCTGCTGCTGATGGCTGGTATCAATGACTGCTACACCTCACTGCACCTCAGCCCGGGGCTGCACTGCCACCTAGGCAACTTTGCCAAGGCCACTTTTTTTTTTCCTGAGACACAGTCTCGCTCTGCTGCCTTAGCTAGAGTGCCGTGGCATCAGCCTCGCTCACAGCAACCTCAAACTCCTGGGCTCAAGCAATCCTCCTGCCTCAGCCTCTCGAGTAGCTGGAACTACAGGTATGCACCACCATGCCCAATTAATTTTTTTATTTTATTTTAGTTGCCTGGCTAATTTCTTTCTATTTTCAGTAGAGACACGGGGGTCTTGCTCTTGCTGAGGATGTTCTTGAACTCCTGACCTCAAGTGACCCTCCCGCCTTGGCCTCCCTGAGTGCTAGGATTACAAGCGTAAGCCACCGAGCCTGGCTGCCAAGACCGCTTTTGGTGCCACCTCCAAGACCTATAGCTAACTGACTCCTGACCCTGGAAAGAGATAGTATTCACCAAGTCTCTCTAGGGTCAGGAATTTACTGACCATCTTGTCAAGACCCACATCAGAGTCTGTGTGCAGAGGACCCAGGCTCCAGCTGTGGCTACAACATAGCATTTTTATATAAGAAAAACAAAGTGAATTAAGCCTGTTAAAAAAAAAAAACCAGTAATAAAAACAAAACCCAATTTTAAAAATGGGCAAAGATATCGATAGGTATTTTCCCCAAGAAGATATACAAATGGCCCACAGCATATGAAACGCTGCTTGATATCATTAGCTATCAGGGAGATGTAAATCAAAAACACAATGAGATGCCACTTCAGGCTCATCAGGATGACTATCATCAAAGAGACAGATAAAAGCAGGTCTTGGGGAGCATGGAGAGAAACTGGAACCCTCACACACTGCTGGTAGGAATGTAAAATGGTGAAGTCACTTTGGAATACAGTCTGGCAGCGCCTCGAAAGATTAAACATAGGGTTACCATGTGACTCAGCAATTTCACTCCTAGGTATACATACCCAAGAGAAATGAAAATGTATTTCCACATAAAAACGTGTACATGAGTGTTTATAGCAGCATTATTCACAATAGCTGGAAAGTGGGACAGCTCAAATGTCTATCAACTAATGAAGAGATGAAACACGGTATAGCCATACAATGGAATATTGTTTAGTCATAACAAGGAACGATGGACTGATTTACAGCATGGATGAGCCTTGAAAACATAAGCTTAGTGAATGAAACCACTCACAAAAGACCACAGAGTCTACGATTCCATTCGTGTGAAAGGTTCAGAATAGGCTAATCAACAGAGACAGAAAGTGGCTTAGTAGTTGCTTAAGGCTGAGGGGTTGAGGGAGAAATGGGAGGTGGCTGCTAATGGGTACAGAGTTTCTTTTTGGGGTGATGACAATGATCTAAAATTGATTGTGGTAATGGTTTCAAAACTCTGAATAAA